ATGGATCTTGGAAAGGAGATGATCTCACAAGCAGGGTGAGTTGAATTCTACAATTATAAGATGGTTCCACAGACCTCCTAGGACAAGGGAGTCGTTGAGGCCTTTTTTCTCTCCATCTTGAACTCCTCAGCCTGATATGGGCCTTCAGATGTCTAGATAGACACAACAGGTATTGTAACTATTTTGTTAATGATTCTTAGGAACTAGTACAAATGGTTAATAGACCAAAACAATGGCCAGCGTTGAGACGGAGCTGCGTGAACTTGAAAATCTTGGTGGCCTCCCCCAAGATGTCAACATAGTTTTTGAGCCGAGAACCAGAAATGATCAACAAACAAATTTTCTTGCTAAGAATGCTCATACCCAGAAACATGTTTTTTTTTGTGGGAGTACATCAGTGTCTTTAGTTTGCCTTTAGCGAATTCGTGCTAAGAATGCTAATGAAAGTAGTTTTTTTTTGGGACAAAAAATGACTAGGGTAATCTAAAACTGAACAAATGCGCTAATGAGGAATTATTATGATTTATAGTCTATAGATTTTGACTAATATAAACGAAGTGGATGTGGGTGGGGTGTGGACGAGCCAACCAACTATTTGTTATAAAACTTTATGTAATAAAAATTTGAGTTCATAATCATTATTTGTTTACTTGTTTAGTTTTTGTTTTAGAACTTGTTACTACTTATCTCATCATTAAGGAAATTCCTATAGAGCTAGTGTCTAGGTCTCTTCATTTGGTTTGACCATCAAGTACTACAATACAGAGGTTAACTAACCTAGTAGGCAAAAAGCTACTATCTCTCAACTCACAACATTCAACCAAAAAAACCACCAACTATTCTATCGTTAAACTAAATCTTCAACTTTCATTGAATTTTCAATTTTTTTTATCAAGCTATTTTAGACCCACCATTAATCAACAATTATAGTTGACTAGCAATAGAACAATAATGGTTCGTTTAATAACAGTTGGGATTTTTTTTGGAAGTAAATGTTGAAAGTTTTTTTTACAAAAAGTTAATTTTTTTAACAAAATTTTAGATTAAAATAGTGAAAATGATACATAAAAGCTCAGGAAATTACATAATTTATTTTGTCCATGAAAATTATATATCCCAACAATATTTAACCTAAAATTAATTTTAAATTAATTTCTTATATTAATAAACAATTTTAAAAAAAAAATTGTAAATATTTAATCATAAAATCAGAAATTACGATAGATAACATGAATATGATTAATATTTATTGGTAAAATTGTGAAAATGAATTCATATTTTTGTGTGTATTATTATAAACTATAGTAACATTTTCATTATATTATAAAGTAGTTAGTAAATAATACAAATTTTAAAGTTATTTTCAAAATAATTATGAATTAAAATCATATTTTGATTACCTTTATCAGAAATTATTTTTTAAAAATGCTAATTTTATTTTTATACTATGTTCAAAATATTTTAGGTGATAAATAAAATAGTGATAAATAAAACAGAAATTTCATTTTTGATATCAGAAATTTCTTTTCAACTAACGAAATAGATTTTTTAATTGTTAATGTTTTATTATCCATATTATTTTTTATTTCTTTAATCCACAAATTTAGAAAAAAATAAATTTTTGGTAAAAAAAAATTCCCAAATTTTTATTTACCAAAATAATCTTAAACTTTTTATTTACAAAAAACCCTGATTTTATTTATTAAACCAGTTTAGTGCTATTATTAGTCAACTATAAATATTGACTAACATCGGGTTTAAAACGGCTTGGTCAAAAAAAGTTGGAGATTAAAAAGATTATTCAAAAAAAGTATAGATTTATTTTATCCACCGAGTAGTTAGTGTTTTTTTGGCTGAATGTTGTGAGTTGAAGGTTTATTTGACATTTTTTCCTATAAAAATTTGAGTTAAAAAATCTTTTAAAAAATGTTCAAGTCATTAAAAATCATTATTAAAATAATTTCAATTATAATAAATTTGAACTTAAATTCAAAAGTCAGTAACACTTTGTAGTCGTTAAAAAATAATTATTAGAATATTGATAATAACATTGGATTTAAAGTTAATTGTTTTTAAAAATCACTACTTCAATAACAGAAACACAATTATCCACTTATAATAACAATGAATTTGAATTTCGATATGGGATATGAAGATTTGACTGCAGCATTTGTAGTATTCTCAAGATGATGAGTTCACAGACTCACATTTGAGTAGACTTTCTAAAATTAACACTGGATTGATGAGTGATGGGGGTCTTTAACTTTCTACTCTAGATAAGGCTGGCAAATAATCTCAGTAGTACTTGGATCGAGATCCATATGAAGTACTTATAACTGTGGAAACTGAGACTTTGGTATGGGAATTACACAAAATAATGATTAACATATGGTATCTCAGAATTCTGCTTTCTCTCTAGTAATATTGGACGATGAAAGGTGTTGGTGTTAGACTGATAAGTTTTTTGGATTATGATGGTACAATTTCGAAAAACGAGTCGAATGGTCTCCAATGGGTGCCCAGAACCTAAAAAGAAGACTTTCACTGCTACATATCGAAGCACATACATTGTATGATGCAAATAATATGATGATGATGTATTTCACAGCAGATTATTCAGAGCTGGTGAAGATGGTTTTTACACCAGAAAAGTGTCATATTTTATTTTTACAGCTAAAAAAATTCATATAGAGTAAATTTTTTTTTATTAAATTCTACTTCTCACTTATTCTAGGCGCAAACTAATACAAAAAAGATAAGTTAGCAAAAAGTGCTCAAAATGATATTATAGAGAAAAAACGGCTAATTAGTACTTGAACTGCGAGTCTAGTACAGATTGATACCCGAGAAATTTTGGTGTGCAAAATGGTACCTCTACTCTCAGATATTAGAAAATCTGTACCTACATTATTTTTTTAGCCAATTAATACTTTGACCTGTTCTCCGTTAATCAAACCCATGTATTTTTAAACAGATATAATTCGGATGTCACGACAGCATCCACGTCAGTATTCCGTTAGACGTAATAAGTAAACGACGTGGTCTACGAGAGTTTAACCCAGAAAAAAAACAGGAGAACCAAAATTTTTTTTTGGCACAAAACTAAAACAAAATCGGCTGGGGAAGAACAACAAGAACAATCCATCTTTGTCGACGACACATAAGACATAAGAGTTTTCTTCTATTGGCTTCTCCTTTATTTTGATCCCCTTTCTCTGAGTTGCTAAGCTATTAACTCAGCCATATGTGATAGTAACATCTGAGTGAGGCTGGGGAAGAACAACAAGAACTATCCATCTTTGTCGATGACACAGAAGACATAAGCGTTTTCTTCTATTGGCTTCTCCTTCGTTTTGATCCCCTTTCTCTGAGTTGCTAAGCTCTTAACTCAGCCATAGGTAATTGTAATGTCTGTGTGAGGCCTGACTGGAAAGACTCAAAACCGACACAGAAGCCGAAAAGGAACAATCAGGATCAGAAATTAAACCCATTTGCCGGCGATTTCGTCAGATCCCCCACGCCGATACGAGTTCTCAATGTAATCCTAGCTCTCGTTGTTCTTTCCAAATTTCTGACTTTGTCTCGAGGAAGAAGAAGGAAGAACCCCGATTTTGTTTTAATTTTGTGCCTAAACCAAAATGACGTCGTTTTGAAATTTTTTTTGTTATCCTAAACTCCAAACGGTGTCGTTTTGGTTTTTTATTTTGGGTTAAACTCTTCTAGATGACGTCGTTACTAATTACGTTTAACGGAATACTAACGTGGAAGTTGTCGTAGCATCGAGTCATCTCCATTTAAAATACACAGGTTTGACTAATGGAAAACAGGCTAAAGTATTAATTAGCCAAAAAAATGGTGTAATTATAGATTTTCCAATATCTGATAGTTAAGTTATTATTTGCTGAATTCGCAGTTCAGGTACTAATTAGCCGTTTTCGGATATTAAGTATATAATTTTGTGCCACCACTTTAGAGTTTCAAACCGTTTTATGTATTTTGACAAAATAATTTATTTACAACCCTATTTGATTGAATATACCCCATTTTTTAAACCATATCACGAGCTTTTTATCCATTCAGGCAAACCACAAACTGGACCACATGCTCTAGGCTTATTCATAACCACATCGTATATCTAAATAGAGAAATTACGCCATTTGTGTTTTGCGTACATATCAAACATGGTTAGTTGAACTGGTGTTTCGATTGAAAAACTGAATTAGCCAAAGTGAACCATTCACTTGATAAGCACAAGCAGCTAAGATTTAAATGAATCATGAAATAACTAATTTCCAGAATTTAGAAAATTTGTTGTTGTATTTAGCTTAGGAGCACTCCTTACCTGTGCATAAAACATGAGATTATAAAAATGTAATACAAAAGTGAAAGAAAAGAACACAATCTTATGTTTAGGGCATCTCCAAAAAGGACTTTAAATTTGAGGTTGGTCAAACCTTAAATTTAAGGTTTGATGGTGTTTGTCTCCAAAAGCAAAACCTCAAATCTACTATCACAAAATTTAAAATATTGCACTATAATCCTTACTTTTAATTATTATTAATAAAAATCAGACAACTTTATAAATAACAAAAAAAACATTAAAAATATCATTAACTAAAATTATATTATAAATTTTCTAATAAAATAAAAAATTACATTATAAGATAAATTTATATAAACATAATTATTTAGATTAAAATGATAAATAAAAAAAATAAAGTGATTATTTATGAAATATATAATTGTAAGGATTAAAATGCAATTAAAAATTACAAACATCAAATTTGAAGCTTTGAACAGTGAAACCTCAAATATAAGGTTTGACGGTTCAAAACCTCAAATTTTGAGGTTTCAAAATTGTTTTTGGAGTGAACAAAACTTCATATTTGAAGATTTAAGGTTGCTTTTGGAGATGCCCTGAAGTAGTAAAAACCCAAACAACATAAATCTTTATTCCTTTTTTTTACTGATTTTTTTCTTTTTTTTTTGCCTTTTTTTTCTGATTAATGGAACAGAGTTACACTAAGAAAAATACAAAAGAAACAAAGAAAACAGTCGTCCATGAAAATCGAGAGACTGTTGATTACGAATAATACATTTACAAGTATTTACAGAAAAAGATGATAAAAAGAGAATTGATTTTGAATGTGTTTCAGGGTATTAAGATCCATCAGTGAGTAAATTGCAGCGAAAGGGATTAGTAAGTGAACCCTCCTCCATTAGAGCTTGGCCATAATTTAAACTAAACTCAACCTGCAAATCAAATATCCATCCAACACAATGTTGATTCATTTCACTAAAAATGCAATAATTCAGAAAAAGCCTAAAAAAGTTTATATCAAGTAAAAAAGTAAGCAAACTCAAAATCAAGAAAATACATCATTTTCGGGTTTAAGATTTCAGGTTTACAGTTTTAGACTATTGTATTAGTTTCTAAAAATATACCATATTTGTTAACTTTGGTATAAAATATGGCTTATTTTCTTTTGCTATGGGGATGAATTCTTCTTACCTTCTTCGGAGAAAGCGAAAACACCACCAAGCATGTCGTCATCGTCGTCGTCATCGTCGTCATCATCATCATCATCAACATTACCATCATCTAGTTTTCTCTGATCAAATGACGCATCTTTTTTCACTGCTTCTTTAGCAGTTTCCTTGAAAAACTCCTCAAAGTTTGGGGAGCCTTCAATTGGTCCCTCCTCACTTTCATCTGCTGCATTCATGCTCAGATCAGAACGGTTAGAACTTACATTTGAATCTCCGCTTGTCCCGCTGCTGTTTTCAATTGTTGTTTCAGCGGGCAGGGAGGCGTTCTTTGGTGACAGATGAGCGTCGTCTATAGTATAGTCGGTGTCTTTCACAGCGGAAGAAATGGAAACCACAGGTTGCTTGAATGTTACGATCCCGCTATGAGGATTTTGATTCTGAGTTAGTGCAAAATGGGAATTACTTCCTCTTCCTTCTTCATCCTCATGGTAAGCGATACCTGCTTAAAATTCAGTTTAAAGATTTGAGAAATGTCAACATGCATCGATTTTAGGAAGTAAATTCCATTACCTTTAACTTGTCCTGTATCAGAAGAAGAAGAATCTGAATCTCTTTCAACAGGAAATCCTCTGCAAGAAAAAGAAGTAGCCGGTTTTTAACTGAATCATCAACATGCGCAATTTGAAAGATATGATGCAGTTAGTCAGGTAACGTACCTGTTGCGCATACTAGAATAAACACTGTGAAAATTATCATACACAGGCAGCAGATCCTTCCTCCTAATATCAACTTCATTTGCAGATACTTTCTCGATTTCTATCTCCCCACCACCATGATGAAAATTCAGGTTCTTGCCATCAATATTCGGTGGAAACATCGGATAGAAAGATATCTGGAATTTGTATAATTTAACAGAATAGTAAGACATTATCAGATCATGTTTAATCGTGGGACATACGTAGAGGATAAGTAAATAGAACCTCTGAATTTTGCCAGATGGGTTTTCTTCCGGAGTTTATCAGCACCTCAGCATTCGCAAGATAAACATGGTGTTTCTCAAGAGGCTTAGCTAAATCTTCATTATCAGAAGTATCAACGTTGGCTTCTGCAAATTTGCGTCCACCAAAAGTAAGACCGGATATGTTCTCCTCTCTGTCTGGCCAATTTGTTCTTCGACAAACATCCCAACACTGAACGGGTTCGACTTTCACTCTCAATTCCTCTTCAGAGTTCATCGCAGAAGCTGCTCCGATACGAGAATTGCTCTCAGCCTGGTCTCCTCCAAGAGATGGAATGAGTTTGTATTGAACAACATGACCAGATGGAGTGTAAACCAGTAAATAGTCTAAGGCATGAGCTGACGAATGTGATTCATGTGGCACGGATTGATGGAAAACAGCAGCAAGACAGCCAGAAGGGAAAGACGGTTTTCCAACAACGGAATTTGCGGTGTGGAAGAAAGTGTTGCATTTGATTCGGCTAACCACAGAGAGAGTTACCGATGCTGGTGGTGGAAACGAAAAATGAGTGGTCATGAACGATGGACTCGACCACCATGGCAGGGACAATGTTGGAGCAAGTGTTGGTCCATCGACATGAGAATTCCTTATCTCAAGAACATTTCCTCCACCAAACGGGGATAAAACATAAATATGGCAGGTACCTTTAGATGAAACAATTGCAATCCACTGGCTGTAGCTACTAAAGCAAATATCTTGTATTACCTGTGAGAATAGCACATCAGCGTTCACAGTAGCAAAAACGTCGAAATGAAACATCGATACAAGAGAAAATGTAAGAAAGCATACAGCTGATGTCATTCCACGATGTAGTTTGTAGAGAGGCACATGAGATGAGCTCCAATCATAGCTTTGAGCACCTTGTCCATTCTTCGTAGGCGATGGCATAATGCGGAAAACGTTAATATTGTTACCGTGGATTGAGGCAGTTACTAATAAAGTGCCACTTGGGTCGAAACATAGAGCAGAGATAGGACTAGTGTGAGCCCTGAATTGTGATATAATAGCTCGGGATTCAAAATCCTTGATAATAACCTGATCATAATAATAAGCGTGTCATACTCCTTTAACCCAAAACCAAATTGCAGCACAAAATAGAGACAGGACGATATAACATATTCAATATTCAAATCAACGTTCTGAGAATACTCGATATAAGGTTAGTGTCTGCATTGTTTGTACGAAGTTCTCATATTTTCTAAATGAACAAAAACTAGATTTTCATGTAATCAAGATAAGATGCTTTCTCTAAAAGACTAACCGTGCCAGCAACATCTGACTCTACTGAAGATGCGCCCCGACCAACTTTCCAGCCCGGACTGGACGAAAGAGAAGCACCAGGACCGTCATGTTTAAGATCTTGACAGTATTTAGATATTGTCTTGTAACCCTTGTCGCCCAAATTTAGTAACCCAGCGGCAAGATGCTTACTAGATTCCATGGCGTATCTCGCCACTAGATTACCACTGCTCGGCGACGTAGATGGACTGACTCCAGGAGGAGTAACATTCTGAGGGCTTAAACGACCTATACTAGATGACAAAGGACTATTGGACGCATAAGCTAACCATCTCGGTCCGACAGCCATTGGACCATATCCGACGTTGACCCCAGATATCCCATGGTTTCCAAGCTGAGGAACCGGATATGAGAGGACGCTGAATTTGTTTTCAAGAGTTAAAGCATCAAAACAGTAAATCTGCATCAAAATGACACCACATTAATAGATGCCTCTTTCAACTAAGCAGAACATCAAGCTACCACAAAAATGAAAGAGATAGCACGTAAAAGCTGACCTGTGAACCGAGGCCAACAGCTACAATCCGGGGACTGCATCTAACCATATAGACAGTAGATCGGAATCTCAAAACATGAACATAGTTGTGAGACCTAAGTGAATAGAATCGCACAGCCGTCGGAGAGAGCGAAAGAGGATCGTCATAACCATTTCTAACTGATCCATCTCTGCCATTGACAACAGGACCTGAACCCTTGGCTTCATCAGCAACTGCTAAAAGTATCGGATGCGATGATCTAAACCCTTCGATTCCATCACATTTAGCAGGTAAAGGCTGCATCTGTAGAAACGTAACCGGATCATCACGCCTTGACACGAATTCGCTGACATCACTTGCATCATCGATATCAAGGACTTGAAAACCGTTGGTATAACCTAGTAAAAGAACGTTCTTGAAAGAAGATTCACTTGTGTGCAATCTATCAAAAGAAGACCACAACACCTGCTTGATCAAAATACAAATGTTAAGCATTTATAGATCTGTAATCTACAATGGAGCAACGAAACCATTTATAGATCGGTAACAAGTATCAGGACTAACAAATCTTGTAAAATATCAATGCCATGATCATTCGCGTTTGAAGTCAAACCCTATCGTAAGAAGAAAAAAAAATCTAAACATTCCTAAATCTAATCAAACGAACATAGGAGGAGTCAAAACTGATCAGATTTCATTACGATAAAAGAACTTAAATCGAAATCTAGTATCACGAAATCGAAGAAATCAATTGATCCTAACCTGATCCTTGATCTCCTGCGAATCTGCAGAGAGAGAAGCAGCGACGGAAGCGCTAGCTGAACGGACACCGGAGGAAGCGGTTCTGATACAGGTAGAGATGAATTTTATCGAATTAGGCAAAAAGCCATTGGTACCGTTTTTGGTCTGATTATGATCTCCGTTGTTGATATTGACCTTGGTGCTGCTCTTCATAGTAATTATAAAATCGTTTTAGAAGAGATTTCCGGCCACCGGAGATACACCGGAGAGGAAAAAGCGATCGGTAAAACCAGCATAAGCCGTCGGCGATTACAACGAGGAAGTGTTAAGTAGTAAAGAGGAGATTTATCAATACGTGAAAAAGTGAAGGTTCACCATTTTTTTTATTCCTTGTGTTAGCGGTGGGATTTGGATTGAGACTTTTTTTTTTCTTTGACTTTCGTCACGGAGAAGAATTAGAAGAAGAAGACGAGACGAAGAGGATGAAGAAGAAGAAGAAGAAACGGTTCTTTTCTTTTTCTTTCTGTTTATTTTAATTTTTTTCTTTTTGTTTTGTTCTTGGGACTTGTTGTGGCTTTAGATTTTGGTTATTTTTCCACTTCCATTTTGTAAAATTTAAGTCACTGTCCGATGATAAAAAAGAGTTACTGTCTGCCGTGTGGGAAAGGTGTTACTTGCTTTAAAGCAAACAGTTGAGCAATTTTCGTCGTTATTATAAGAAACTTTTGGGCCTAAGCCCATGACATTTTGTGATCGGAGACGATAAGCCTAATTTAATTCTTTTTTTTAACGGCGGCCTATGGCTCTGATCTGTCGGCGGATCAAGCTAGGCTGTGCGTCCAGATATAAGATTCGGTTCAGTTTTCTCGATTTTGGATTAGTTCGGGTATAAAAGCTTGAAAATACAATATTGAAATAAAAAAAAATCGGATAACTTTTGGTTTGAAATATATTCGGATTCAATTCCGATCTGATTTGGATCGCATATTTTTTACCCAGATTACCTGAAGTATTCACATAACATGAAGTACCAAAAACAAAAATTTTCGAAATTATAATTATAATTTTGGATATTTATTTTAAATATAAATATTTAAAAAAAAATTAATCTATTTATCGATATAGTTAACCTAATCTCAAAATAATGATAAAAAAATCTCTCTAGATAAAAGTCATCTTCAACAAAGAGTTCTCCCAGACCCGATTCCCTTCTCTCTTCGTCGATAATCCTTCTTGTCTCCCTTTTTTAGTACGGAAGGTTTGAAAAAAACCAGATCTACTTTTTTCCGATATGGATTTTTCAAACTTTTTCCGATATAGATTCCCACCAGTCTTCTATCCTCTTAATCGCACTCATATCTCAAAAACTTAAAGTCCATCTCCAGATTGTCTAAAGTCTGTCACTCCTGCATCTCTGTGAACTTAAAGTCCATCTCCATAAATGGCATGTTTAACCCCCAATCCTAATCCTCCTTGAGGTGGGCGTTAGGTTGGTGGTGTGCATTTACTAATTTTTCTCTCTTTGTTAAGATCCTAGATTCTAACAAAGTCGATGGCTTGGACTCACGCTTCTCTCATGGAAAGCGTCTCGGCGGCACCAGTTTTTATATCTAGCCTCGAGCTTTTTTTCTCCAGATTTGCAAATCCCCTGACAATCTATCCTCATTTAGTACTCTTGGACAAACCATGTCTCAACTATCAAAGAACAGATATGATGCGGGCATCAACCCAACAAGCCAACTCATAATGAGATCAACACTTGGAGACATCTCATTTAGCCCATCCAAAGCTGAACCGAAAAAACCAAGCATTAATGGACATAAGAGTCTAGCCAAGAGTAAAGAAGAGACAATCTCCCTTGTAGAACAAGTCAATGGCAAAGAAGAGACAACTGTCATTGATTTGTTATCTTTAGACTTGTATCCATCAGACCATTCAAGCATCTTTGCCAAACCATTCAACAATCTAACCAATAAGGAGTTTTGGACCAAAGATGATGATTTTTACTTCACCAACATACAGCCCAGCCCAGGAGATATTCTGTTCCATTTAGAGACCCATTGGAGCACCCAATACCAAGGAGTCTTGACCTGGATCGACCTGGATTCATCAAATGTCGCATTGTCTTTAAATGGTCTCATCCACGACTATATAACGAAAATCTTTATTTTCTCTGCCAAGATTCGTCTCAGCACTTTATTTGGAAACCAGGATACCATCTAGAAGCTGTAGACCACGTCCTAAGGTGCACCACGCCTCACTTGATCAGACGGATCAAGTTCATGCTACATTTGCCTAAAACGGAGTCAAACGTGTTCACACTACAACAGCTCTTTTCTTATCATTGCTGCTGCGTTTTGAAGTCTTCTCATACAAACCAGGACGCACCTAGACACCTTAGTTTTGGCCCAAAGCTTTCAAGACTCAAGACTTGCCTTATTTGGCTTGATTCCCTCTTAATAGCCCTATGGCTATATTTTCATTAACTTGTGTGTTCTCTTTCTTGTTTTAGAGTTTAGAACGTTGTAACTGAGCCTATATAAGCTCAATTTAGTCATTCATTTGTAATGACCCTACTTCAAAAATATTGAATAGAACATTTATTTTCTTTGCAAAAGCTAACAGTCTTTTGTGTCATTATCATTTCAAGTCTTTGGAGAGAGTCCTTAGTCTTGTGTGATTGTGTCTAGATTAGTTTTTGAGATTCAAACTAGTTTAATCGTGTGTTGTTGTGGAATCAGCAACAAAACCTTCCATCTCCATCTTCACCAACGATCCATCATCCACTTTCAAGCCGAAAGCCCTTGAAATCATGTGTTCATAAGATTGTGAGATTTAATCTTATATCATCTGGTGTTGTGATTTTCCCAACCTTAGCTCAGTTTTAAACACGGAAACAAATCGAATAATTTGAACTCTCACAAGCTCTCTATCTCTCTCGGCGAAACGTAACGAACACGGAAAAGAAATAAGAACAGAGACACAAAAAGTTTAACGAGTTCGGGTCTCAGAATAAGAACCCTACGTCTCGGCCTGGAGTTTCCAGCAATCCACTAATCACCTTAGGATTACGATATCTCTCAATTCCTTCTCTCTCTCACAAAGAAAAGACACGCACATGCCTACTTATATACGCAGGGTTAATTACAATGATAAGTCGGTGTAAAAACCGTAAACTAATGGGCCTAACTAAACCAGCAAACCCAAGTTGACATTACCAGTCGGTTTAAGCTTATACCAAGTCTGATTTTCATCATAAGTCCTAACAAACTCCACCTTGATGGCAATCAGCTTCAAGCTCCTATATCAATGTAGTGCAACTCCAAGCGTCACTAAACCTTCTTAGTGTTTAGCAATCATGAGAAAGCTTAAAGCTTCCTCAAACTTGTTAACCGGAACCACTTTTGTCAAAATGTCTTCAGAATTCTTTGAAGTCGGAATTTTCTGCAACTTAACCTCTCCTTGTGCAACAATATCTCTGATAAAGTGCAACTTCCTGCTAATGTGCTTAGTCCTTTCATGATGAACATTATTCTTGGCTAAGCACAATGCACTTTGAGAATCACACCATACCTCCACAGAATCCAAGTTGCTTGAATCCAAGTTCCTCAGCTAACCCTTTTAGCCAAATGCTCTTTTTGATTGCTTCAACAAGAGCCATATATTATGCTTCGGTTGTAGACAAAGCTACCACATGCTGTAATCCCGATTTCCAGCTAATAGTATTACCTCCAGCTGTAGACACATATCCTGTGATAGATCTTCTCCTTTCTAGATCAGAAGCAAAGTCTGAATCACAAAATCCTTCAATCTTTAACTCTTCATTCTTCTTGAAAATGAGCTTCAGATATTGTGTTCCCTTTAAGTACCCACTTGACCGCAGACCAATGCACCAAACCCGACTTGCTCATGTATCTGTTTACAAGTCCAACTGCATATGCTAGATCACACCTTGTGCCAACCATAGCATACATGATGCTCCCTATAGCATTAGCATAAGGAACATTCTCCATCGCTGTCTCTTCTTCACCATATTTAACTGCAGATAGTTTGAAATGGGCTCCGATTGGTGTTGCCACAGCCTTTAATTCACTCATGTTAAGCACTTGTAGAACTTTCTTGATATATCCCGATTGAGACAAAGTCACAGTACCCTGCTTTCTATCTCGCTCAATATCCATTCCCAAGATTTTCTTTGCTGCTCGCAAGTCCTTCATTTCAAACATGTTGCTTAAAAGAACTTTCACTTTCTTAATCTCACTCATATCTTTTGCTGCCACCAACATATCATTTACATAGAGCAGTAAGTAGATGTATGAATCTTCAGACACTTCCTTAAGATAAACGCATTGATCATATTCACTTTTCTTGACCCCATGACCAACCATAAACTGATCAAAACACTTATTCCACTGCATTGGAGCTTGTTTTAATCCATAGAGTGACTTTTAAAGACGACATACATACTTCTCTTTACCCTTAACCTTGAAACCCTCTGGCGGTTCCATATAGATCTCTTCTTTCTATATCTCCATGGAGAAACACTGTTTTAACATCAAGTTGTTCTAGCTCTAAGTCCAGGTTCACTGTTATTGCCAATAATAGCCGCATTGACACATGCTTTACCACAGGTGAAAATACTTCATTGTAGTCAATACCTTCTCTTTGTGAGTATCATTTGGCAACTAATCTGGCCTTGTATCGAGATTCTTCGACACCAGGGATTTCAGGCTTCAATTTGAATACCCATTTGCACCCTATGACCTTCTGCTTCTCAGGTCGTTTCACCAGATTCCAAGTATGATTCTTAGTTAAAGAATTCATCTCCTCATTCATTCCTCCATCCCACATATCTTTCTCTTTACAGCTCATTGCTTCTCTATAGCCTCTTGGTTCTTCTAGGCTCATTTCTTCTGCAGCCACAAGAGCTAAAGCTGACATCTCAAAGTCATCATACCTGGATGGTACGACTATTTCTCTCCTAGGCCTGTCTCTGGCCAGTTGATAGTTAGAAAGATCTTCTTCATGTTCTGACTCGGAGTTAAACACATACTCAATGCCATCTCCAGTATCTCCACCTTCAGCCTTACTTCCTGCTTCTGGTCTTGAGAGCATATCTGTTTCAAGAGCTACTCGTGTGTTGTCTCTAGTTTTCCCTATTGAGACTTCACTCACCGTTTTCTCTTTCTTAAGATCTTTGTAAACCTGATCTTCCACAAACAAGATATTACTGTCTTTTGCAGTAGATGGACTCCTGTTGATTAAGTATACAGCAGTTGACACTGCCTCAGCCCAAAACTTCTTTTCTAACCCAGACTCCTCTAAGAGGCATCTAACCTTTTCCATTATAGTCATATTCATACGTTCTGCAACCCCATTCTGCTGTGGTGTGTAGGTGCACGTCCTGTGCCTCTCAATTCCATGTTGTTGACAGAATGCATCAAACTCTGTATTACAGA